ACAGAAATCAGAAGCAAAGGAGATGGAGAAGGGAGACCACTTAATTAAAGGATCATGGTTTTTTAACCAATTAATTCCCAGAATGACAGGATAAAGTGGAGATTTAATAACATCAAATGTAATGAATTCGAAATGTACGTTGTTGGTTATCATTCTTAGAGGGATTGTTTCATCTTTGATGGGTCCTGAGGATATAAATGAACCGTCAATAACTCTGATTGGAATAAATTTGGTTTTTTGAACACAAGGAATTTTATTTTTTGAAACAAAAGAAAAATCAAGAAAAGTTCCATTAGCACCAGAATCAATGATGGCCTCAGTCACGATTCTTTTTGTATCCCACTGTAATATGAGAGATATAGAAAAATAAGTAGATGCTTTTCTTTTTTGAAAAACGTTCAATATAGAGGTAGATGAATGAAGCTTACCACCTTTTGAATTTTTCAGTAGAGGACATTCGGAAATTAGATGTTCATTCGAAGCACAATACATACATAAGTTTAGTTGTCTCCTTCTTATTCTTTCTTCAGAAGTAAGAGGACTTTTTATTATACCTACTTCCATAGGTTCAGTTTGTGGAGGAATTTTTTCAGGTAGTTTTAGAGTAGTGAAAGGTTTTCTCCAGGTAGAATTAGTAAGAACCCTTTCAGCTTTTCTTTCTCTTAGACGTCTATCAATACTGATGGACAGTTGAATCAATGCATTTAAGGTAGGAGGAAGTTCTGTACGAGAGAGTTCATCTTTCACAGCTTCAGATAATCCGAGACGGAATTGATTGCGTAAAGTAATGTCATTCCATTGGGTTTCTGTAGCCCATCTTTTGAATTCTGCAATATAATCTTCAACAGGTCTATTCTTTTGGTGTAATGTTCTGATGGTTAAATCAGCAGTAGTTTGTTTAAAAGGATCTTCATATAATAAAGACATAGCTTCAAAGAACTCATCCAATGAATCCAATATGGGATCATCATTTTCCAAAAAGGAATGGGCCCATGCCATAGGTTCACCTCTTAAAAAAGAGATCACTGAACAGACTTTGGATCTTTCGGTGGGATAAGATCTAGATTTTAAAGCAATTAGTAGTTTGCAAGAATTCAAAAACTCTCTGTACTTTGTTCTATCTCCATAAAATTTTTCTGGATTACAGACAGCAGGATCACCAGCCGATTGAAGAGCGGCATGAGGAAGATGACCTTGAATGTCTCTAACATAGGTTAATATTCTCTCATTTGTAATTTGCAGTTCCTGTAACCCATGAGCAATCGTATCCACTCTATTGGTTAGGGCAGAAACTTGAGAATTAATATCTGCTGGTTCCATTGAAGGCTGAATTATTCTGTGATATATTCTGTGATATATTCTGTGATACTTGTTTTAATTGGAACTCAACTGCAGCATTTCTTGGTTGCAACAACAATAAGGTTTACCTCCGTTTATATTGGTATGACTATGGTCACTGTACCTTTAAATATTCATGTAGGTAAAATTAGGCTTTGTAGCAATCCCTTATGAGTAAGAGGAATAATTAGACAAAGTGACACTTTAGTAAGTTTTAGATACAGTGTAATATAAATAATAGTGATTGACTTGCTTGGTAAAAGTATTACTTAACTTAGAGGCAGTTCTGGCACTGGAAGGGTTAATTCACCCAAAGAAAGAGAAATTAGAAGTCCGTTTCAACAAGCTGAGAACTAGGAGTGGAGAGAGGGGAAGTCCGTTTTAACAAGCCAAGGTCTGGAAGTGGAGAAGGTAGAATTCAGAGTTACAAGCCGAGGTCTAGGAGTGGAGAAGGTAGAAATCCGTTTACAAGCCGAGGTCGAGAAGTGGAGAAGGTAGAAATCCGTTTACAAGCCGAGGTCGAGAAGTGGAGAAGGTAGAAATCCGTTTACAAGCCGAGGTCGAGAAGTGGAGAAGGTAGAAATCCGTTTACTAGCCGAGGTATAGAAGTGGAGCAGCTGATCTTCATGCAGCACCTGTGCGAATAATTCAGCCCTTTGAATCTGGCGCGGTCCTCCTAAGTATCGTGGAGGGACCGCGTCAGAGAAAGGGGCGGGGCTGAACGCCGTGAACCCGGAAGTGGGTTCCGGCGAAAAATAACATGCCATGCTATACCTGACAACCTGAGAGTGCTATCTGGATTACTTTCTATTTATTTATATATATATATATTAGGGATCGACCGATATTGTTTTTTTAGAGCCGAAAGCCGATAACTTGCCGATATTCTGTAAATTTAACATTTTTTAAAAATAAACAATTTCTAAAGGTAAATGCACAAAATATACATACCACATGTAGTGGATGCAGTGTGTTTAGACAGGGGAGCTGTGTGTGTTTGTGTAGTGTGTATATAATGAATGCAGGGTGTGTTTGTGTAGTGTGTGTGTGTGTATATATATATATATATATGTAGTGTGTATAGTGAATGTAGTGTGTGGTGTGTGTAAAGGGAATGCAGAGTGTGTGTTTGTGTAGTGTGTGTATAGTGATTGCAGTGAGTGTTTGTGTAGTGTGTGTGTGTGTATATATGTAGTGTGTGTATAGTGAATGTGGTGTGTGTAAATGGAATGCAGAGTGTGTGTTTGTGTAGTGTGTGTATAGTGATTGCAGTGAGTGTTTGTGTAGTGTGTGTGTGTGTATATATGTAGTGTGTGTATAGTGAATGTGGTGTGTGTAAATGGAATGCAGAGTGTGTGTTTGTGTAGTGTGTAAAGTGAAAGCAGTGTGTGTATAGTGAATGCAGTGTGTGTGTAGTGTGCGTAAAGTGAACGTAGTGTGTGTGTAGTGAGCGTAAAGTAAATGCAGTGTGTTTGTGTAGTGTGTGTATAGTGAATGCAGTGTGTTTGTGTAGTGTGCATAAAGTGAATGCAGTGTGTATAGTGAATGCAGTGTGTGTAGTGTACGTAGAGTGAATGCAGTGTGTTTGTGTGTATATAATGAATGCAGAGTGTGTGTTTGTGTAGTGTGTGTATATAATACAGCGTGTGTTTGTGTAGTGTATGTAGTGTGTGTATATAATGAATGCAGTGTGTGTGTGTTTATGTAGTGTGTGTATATAATGCCACTACATTATATACACACTGTGTTTCTGAAGGGATATCATTTGTGGAAAAGGGGAGGGCATTTTTATTTTTATTTTTAATATTTATATGTTTTAATTTTTTTGTCCCCCCCTCCCTGCTTGTTACCTGGCCAGAGAGGGGGGTTATGGCATTCCTTGGTGGTCCAGTAGTATGTACTGAGCAGTGGGACCCGCAGCAAGCTGTTACTTACCTATCAGAAGCTCCCGTCAATGCCCTGTGTAAATCTTGCGGCCAACGTGCCGCGCGGAGCGTTACCATGGTAACCCGTGGCAACGCTCTGACAGCCGCGGAACTTGCGAGATTTACACAGGGAGCTGAAGGGAGCTGCTGGGAAGGTAACTAAGAGCTTTCTGCGGCCCCCCCCCCCAGGACCGCCGGGCTTGTAATAGGCCCGGTGGTCCTGTTATGTATTATAGGCAATATCGGTATCTCTATTGGCCTATACCGATATTGCAGAAAATACCGAATATCGGCCGATAATATCGGTAAAGCCGATAATCGGTCGTTCCCTAATATATATACATATATATATATATATATACACACTGAACAAAATTATAAATGCAACACTTTTGTTTTTGCCCCCATTTTTCATGAGCTTAACTCAAAGATCTAAGACTTTAAGACTAAGGCTTATTTCTCTCAAATATTGTTCACAGATCTGTCTAAATCTGTGTTAGTGAGCACTTCTACTTTGCCGAGATAATCCATCCACCTCACATGTGTGGCATATCAAGATGCTGATTACACAGCATGATTATTGCACGGGTGTTAGGCTGGCCACAATAAAAGGCCACTCTAAAATGTGCAGTTTTACGATATTGGGGGAATCCGGGGAGGTCTGGGGGGGGTTCAAAAACTAGTTAGTATCTGGTTTGACCACCATTTGTGCAATACATCTCCTTCGCATAGAGTTGATCAGGTTGTTGATTGTGGCCTGTGGAATGTTTGTCCACTCCTCTTCAATGTCTGTGCTAAGTTGATGGATATTGGCAGGACCTTAGCTCATGAAAAATGGGGGCTAAATCAAAAGTGTTGCGTTTATAATTTGTTCAGTGTGTGTGTGTGTGTGTATATATATATATATATATATATATGCTTAATAATACATATTAATTTTTAGTAGCAGACACAACTAGAACTGTCTCTCCCTGGCAACATTCTACCATTTATTCTATATTCTATTAAGACAAGCGAGGATGGAACATGTAGTGGGTGTCTTATCCAAACAAGTGAAGCAGGACCACTGCCAGAACAGAATGTGGAAAATGTTAAACCATGTTCACTTGTGCCACCACTTTGCTCCATTAAACATGGTGGTGCTTATTCTTATTCTTATTCTGTCTGATGGAGACATTGGAAATCTGCTCAGTATTTAATGATTCGAAGCTCCAAATTATAATGCAATTCTGACCAGTACTTACTATTCGTATTATTTTTAGCATTATACAGTGCCGACTTATTCCGCAGATCTTTACAGATATACAGTGGGAACATGTAACATCAAGTAATTGAAAGACAAGGCAAATGTTGACAGATACAAGAGGCTAAGAAGGCCCTGCTCAAACAAGTTTACAATCTAGGTGGAAGTGAAGGAAACATGAGACAAGAAGAAGAACAATGTTTTAGAGAGTTAGGAGAGTTTGATATATATGATATCTGTCTAGTGAAACATGTAAAGTGTTTTTGTTCTTTTTGGAGGAACGGTAGTGTTGGAGTAGTGAGAGTGACGTGGACTGTGGAAACACAAGAAGTGTTTGCACGGGACAATGGAGACATTATCCAACAGGATGATAAGCTTTTCTACAGAGATATGATATATGGGGCAGAAGCCAGAGAAAGTCTAATAAGAGGAAAGACTTTCAATAGGAATGGTGTGGACCTTGGCTACAAGGACTAGCAAAAGGGTGAGTTGTGAGAAAGATAAGTCTGGGGCAGCATTCATTACAGATTGAAGTGGGCAATGCAAGTAATTGGGAGGTCGCTGAGGAGTGAGTTGCTATAGTTAAGGAAATGATAGTTGCACAAACAAAGTTCCTTACTTGAATCTTGAATATGAGCAATGTTTTTGATGTTGAAAAATCAGGCTTTAGAGACAGACTGAATGCAGGGGGCAAAGGTGAGACCAAAAGTCACACAAAGGCAGCAAGCCTGGAGGGGATGGGGTAATGGATGTTCAATGAAGACTAGCTGGGAGATAGACAAAGAAGGTGTGGCATTTGAAGGAGGAAAGATACGTTCAGTTGTCAGAAGATTAAGCTTTAGAGATTGGGAAGCCAACCAGAGATAAATGAGAGGCAATTAGTAACCAGTTCTAGGAGTGCAGGCAAGAGGCAAGAGGATTTCGTTTACGTTAGTTTCTAGGGATTATATTCATATAGTGTGAACATATTTTTGGCACTTGAGAACTGAATTTGACACACCCAAGCTAAAGTTTGCAATCTGGAGGTGCCATTGTCTAACAGTGTTTTAGTAAACAAAGTCAAGTATTAACACAAACAAAACAGTTGTTAAACAGCCAAAACTCCACCATCTTACTTTGATATACAAAAATCACTGATGTTCTAGAAAGGTAAAAAATGAATCATGGAACTTCCCTATTTAGCAAGTTTTCAGTGAACACGAGTTGATTAATCACTAACTTAGTTAATGTAATCCGTTTTACGGATCCACTACATCTCTAGGGTACATTTATCCAGTGACATCTTTAACATTATTTATTGGCAGAGCAAGATATGAGAAGCTCTGTATGACAAGGTAACATTCAGGTAAGTTATATGGGTAATAATTTACACCATGCACAAGAAAATAGTTTAAACATGTTTACATTAAATTATATATAAGCATCCTGGTTTGTTTGGTGCTAGCATTATGGCTTTAAGCCCATTGCAAAATGAGACACACGCTTCTCATATCCATTATTTTCTATACGTTTTCCTTATGTTCCAATACTGGCAATTTGTTGCCTTATACTAGTGGAACAGCCTCCTTTAAGGGTATAGGGACTGATATTTGGGAGGACCATTTGGAAATCCCATTTCAGTCTCTTTTTTTCTTTTTTATGTATAGAGGTGTAATAGGTGCTATGCTACAGGTGCAAACTTAAATCTTTAATGTGCAACTCCCTTGGTTATGCCCTTTGTCACATGACCCTATTTAGCCTTGCATTGCAGAGAGTTCCAGGAAAAGGATTTTCCAAGTAAATGGGTTAATTTCATAAAAGCAGGCATTAATAGTGTGGACATATTGCACTAGACTAGGAACTGTCAAAAATGGGGTACATTGGTATTGTGGCATTGTGCAATGTAGGATCATATACTGTAACTTAATCAACATTATTTTTGCCTAAGTGAGGTGTTTTTAAAAGCAATTTTTTTTTTTTTTTTGAGCTTTGTACACATGAGTGCACTTGATTCTATACCCCGAATATAGACCTTCTATTCCCCGCACTAGTGAGCTGGTCTATGTTCGAGGGAATTCTCAGAACATAGACCTGCTCTCGGGTGCATGCAAGACTTAGTTCTCGCGTCGATCTTAGGCATCCTTGCTTAACGACCTAATCGTAGGGACGGAACTCGGTCGATAAATGAGCAGTTCCTGTATATTATACATATATGATAATTGCCATTTATCTGTCAGGAGGAAAGTCCAAATCATGGACTGAAATGTCGACTTGTACTGATGTGTAAATACTTATATTACTTCTTCAAGATATAAAGATGCTTTACCAGAAGATCATGAGCGCAAATAACTTTTTGCTAATAAATATATATATTCACTTCTCTGGAACAGACAGTTCCCAATTCCAACACTCCAGTTAATTAATGCTAATTGATACTAGTAATGCTAACATTACTCCGGAGGAGCAGTGCAGTGGAGATAAGTAAAAAGCATGCTTTCCTCTACCCCATGTCCATGTTCAGGGTAACTATTGCCTTGTGGTGTTGCAGGTAGGCTTTCGGTATTATGATCCTGGCACTGTTGGGGGGTTATCTTAATTTGCATTGAATGTCCTGATATGTTCTGACAACAAGAAATGCCATGTAACTTTAAAGGGTTACTCTACTCACCATGACCACTTATGCCTTTTGAAGTGGTCATGGTGATAGGTGCCTGGGTGTGCAGTGAAACACTGCACATCCAAACTTATTTGCTATTGTGTGGACTAGTTGCACACCCAGCACACGGTCCAAAACTCTGTTCTGGGCTACATAATGTCAATGCTGCGCATATTTTACGTCTGTCATCACTGCTTACTGCACACATGCAACAAATGATCTCTGCTTCTCCCTTGCAGGCTGCAACAGGAAGCTTGTGTATCCCCTACCTTCTTAACTGCAGCCCTCCCGCCTCCCTATCCCTTCCGCTTCCCTATCCCTTCCGCTAATTATCCAATTTTTATTATATTCTATTAGAAGCCTTTGATTGGACCTTTGCACGGCTCCCGTGATGTCACAAGGAGGCGTGCTGAGCACTGCCGGAATCGTCGCTTAGCACTGGATTAAACTAATTAAAACTTATTTTAATACATTTTTCAGGGTTTTTAAAGGTAAGACCTGAAGAATAATGCCAAATAGGGCATTATTCAAAGTTAAAAAAACAAACAGTTGGAGCAACCCTTTAAATCAATAAAACTAATGAGAATTGTAGGAAAATAAATGCACACCCAAAAGATATTATTTTGTTAGCTGCTGGGTTGTGCTAAAATCTCAGTAGTGACAGTTCTGCTTTACCAGGTAGTTTATGACATGGTGTCTTGTTTTTTTCTCTCATTTTTCCATACAGCATTTGATATATAATCTACTGCTTGAAACAGCCTGTTTATCCTCTTACTCTGAACCAAATTCTTTGTGATGTTTCCCAATGACAATGGGCTGCTAACCATTTTTAACTTAGGGACATTCATTTCTAGTTTCTGTGTGTTCAGGGCCGGATTAACATAGGGGCTGATGGAGCTGCAGCTCCAAGCACATGCCCATGGAATAGGCCCATTGATTTAAAAAAAAAAAATGTTCTTACCCAGGACTCTTAGGGTTGCCACCTGGTTGGTATTTTGCTGGCACACACTGTATTTGAGGCTACCTGGCCTTGCCGGTATTGCAGTATTACCAGCAATACAAATGCAGGTATTTTTCTCAGTATAAACTGAGATTACTCTGCAATACAAGCACCGGTCAGTAGGGGTCGCTGTGTGTGGAGAGAGGCAAGGATAGGAAGTTACAGCATATGCCTGCCTCTCTCTACTCCCAGTGTCTGTGTCCCCATGTCTCCCAGTGTCCCCATGTCTCTGTGTCCCCATGTCTCCCAGTGTCTCAAAATGTCTTAGTGTCCCCATGTCTCCTAGTGTCCCCTAATCTCCCAGTGTCTGTGTCCCCATGTCTCACAGTGTCCCCACGGGGATACTGGGAGATATGGGGGCACTTGTGGATATAGACATGGGGACACTGGGAGACATGGGGACACTGAAACTAGGGGACACTGGGAGAAATGGGGACCCAGACACTAGTGGACACTAGGGACCCAGACACTAGGGGACACTGGGAGACATGGGGACCCACACACTAGGGGCACTGGAAGACATGGGGACCCAAACACAAGGGGACACTGGGAGAAATGGGCACCCAGACACTAGGGAACACTGGGAGATATGGGGACCCACACACTAGGGTCACTGGGAGACATGGGAACCCAGACACTATGGGACACTGGGAGACATGGGGACACTGGGCAACATGGAGACATGAGAAGACACTGACACACTGATACATAGGAACACTGGGAGACCTGGGGACACAGACACTAGTGGACACTGGGTGAAATGGGGACACTGGAAGACTATGGGACTGGGCGACATGGGGACACTGAGACACTGTGAAACACAGGGACACTGAGACAATGGAAACAATCCATCTATACAGCAGAATCAAACTGTAAGTAGTTGTTTGGTGATTTTACAGAATTTTCCCTTATGTCATCATGTGATGTCACATAATTAATTATGCAAATAATTAAGGCCAGTATTTGTTTCCACGAAAGGTGGCAACCCTAACTACTCTTCACATACTCTTGCTTAAGTATGGAAGCTTAAAAGGGATGTATGGGAACAAAACCTATGTGGACAGGCTGACAATGAAATATTAATGTAATGCTGACTTTGGTCTCCCTAACACTGTGGCATGTCTCCTTTCTTCTACTCTCACTACATACACCTTTTCTCTGTCCCAGACTATATACCAGGAGCTTCTGCCTGTTGGTATAAAGGTAAGGAGACAAGTGGTCATGTGAGTGCTAGGGGACAGTTCCTAGAAAGCGTGGAGTAGACGCATCATTTGACGCATTTATGCCAAGCTCAGGGTGCTGTCTGCATAGTATGCCCTTAGTTTGCATGATTGGCAAGCAGCCTGGCATGCATTCATGGCCTTCCAATTCTTTGGGCTGACATGCCCCCTTCTTGGGCATGTGTGCCCCTTTCGGCAGTTCTGGTTACGTGATTTGCAACAGTGGCACACCCTTTTACCCTGCACATTGACTTCCTGCTTTAATGGACACTGCTGTTAGCGGCTATGGATTTACTTGAAAGATGAAAGCATAAATTAAAAAGAGATTAGCAATGGGTATGTGTTTTCTTATAGCTGCATCCTGTGAGTTTCCTTCCAGCACCATCTCCATCGATACATGACATTTGGGAGGTATGATTGTTTTATTGTTTTTGGTCGATAAGATTCTGGAATTAGGCCCATCATAATTGTCAGCACCAGGCCCAATAGGCTCTTAATTTGGCCCTGTGCGTGTTGCTTGCTAAAAGATCTTTTTGGCTTTAATTGACTTTGCTTTGTAATCAATAAGATTTTACTGAGGGAAGTAGATACAGGAACAGGTAAAAAGTAAACGGGTAAATATTTACTTCTGAATGCACAAACTTTGATAAAAGTTTTACAAATACAAATAAAATAGGTGAGAAATCAAAAAGCCATAAAGCAGTTATATAGCTAATTAAAATATGTTAGCACTGTCTAGTAAAGGAGAAAAGAAAAAAAATGATGGGGAGGAGAGGGATAAGAGGAAAGAATGAGGAATTGGAAAAATGAAGGGAAAAGATGAGATCATGACCAGCTGAGTTGCCAGATGCCAGGCACAAAGGGATACCCACTGAACGCCTGCCAACAGACTCATACTGTGTAGCATAATCTTTCATGAGTCCATGGCCACAAGCCCATTCTCCTCTGACCAGGCACTAACTTATGTCTAGAAAGGTTGTCCATAAACCTGGAGTAACTAATAGGCCTCAGGAATAGAACTGTAATCCAATAAAACCATCTGGAATTATTTTTTCCCTTAAAAAAGGCGAATCCACCGCTGGATCCTCAAAACTCTCTATCTCTTCAACTGAACAAAACCATGTCGCTAAAGACAGAACCAAGTCTCACGTCCACGTGAGGGGAATGATAGTCTTTGTGGCATTGAGGAGTCTTAGCTGTACACAACATTTTTAGATCTTTATTGGAAAAGTACTATGGTAAAGGAGCATGGTAGCTGGCTCAAAACTGAAAACGGGGGTGGGGTATGTGAGAGTTTGCTGATAATCTCAGGTACAGCGGTCTTGCAGCTTTGGACAAGACCACTAAATACGCATCTCTCCAATATATTTAGAGCAACGTCAATAGATCTCTGGAATGGTCACAATGACAAAGCAGGATTAAACCTAAGGTAGCATTGTACGGCTGCCTAGGGCCCAGAGAATAGACATGAGCCCCGGAAACCATGCTTGACCCCGTTAAACATCCCTTTGTAAAGAATGAAGGGGGGGTCCCAAACTGGTAACCCCCCCTGTGGGATCTAATCCTTCTCTGCATAATGTGATCATGTAGATCTGTATAATGTGATCATATCTATTATGTATGTATTGCCACTCCTGGTGTTGTTGGAATAATTTACAAGTAAATTGTCTGCTCTTTATCGTCAGTTTACACAAAGACAAATCCTGATGTAATTATGCCCACCAGATTAAAAAAAAATCACCCTTCTAGGAGATGCAAAAACTGTAAAGATCAGTAAGACCTACAAAACTGACTTTCAGCCATAATTCTTAGCTAAACCTGTTTGAAATATGTACACTGTTTATTTTAAATATTGTATACATTTATGTGGTTATAGTGATGAAATGTAAGGATTTGCCTTTGAAATCAAATTTTGTTTTCCATGTGTAATGGAATCTTTACACTGTAAAAACAATATCCACTGTTACTAATTTTATCCCTGAATTTTTGCTCACACTGTTTTCTAAGCCTACAGATTTCAGAGCAGCAAGAACATAGAGAAATTTGAAGAAGAACAAATTATTATTGGAGTTAGTGAGTTTGTAGTCGAGATGAAATGCTTATGCTGAACATATCTGGGAACATTTTAATAGTGTAACTTCAATGAAATATTCCTGGCTGCTAGTAGTTTTGTATATATTGATCCCTTTCTTAATTATCTATACAAATAGTTGACTTTAGATAAGCAAACTACAGCTATCCATATTTCATGATTATCTCAAATGTGATTAAGTGCTTGTCTGTATACATGTCACTTTAGTTATAATCAATAAAAAATATAATTTATGAAAGAGCGTTGTCATCATGTCTTGTTGGTTTTCAAAGTGTATTACCATGCACCTTGAATTCACTATTAGGAACTTAAAGGAACACTGGGCACGATAACGACTTCATTTCAATTAAGTTGGTAGAGTGCCTGGAGGTTCTAGGTGCCGACTTACCTTATGGGGGCTAAACTATTTAAAAACAGTTTAACACAAAAGTTGCTAAAGCTTGAGACGGGGCACCGTGTGAAGACCAAGAGTCCTATTGCAAGAGCACCCCCAAATTTGATGTTTTGATTATCAAGTGCCAAATATAAGCTGGAATGTGGTTTCCATAGCAACTACTTCACTTTATGAGGGTGAATGGAGACAAAGTCGGGATTTGATTGTCTGGGACAATCTTCATTGTGTGGCTATATATGCGTTGTAAGCATTCAAAAGATGACAGAACAACGTCACGATAACAGGGACACCACCATTCTTACTATGCACACATATAGCCACTAGAATACTGTATATAGAGTGAATTAGCCTTGTATGTTACAGCCGAACAATCCAATACATCTTTTATTTATTTCTGTTTCCATAAGGCCTTCGATTTAATATTGTTACATATGCTATCCAAATGATTTAATATTTTTTTAATATTTTTTCAAATGATTTTTTCAACATTCCATTTGAAATTGTAAAAAACAAAACAAAAGAGGCTTTGATATTTTTTTGTGACATGGCAGAATCTATGTATATAGATGCAATAATGTTTATCGTGATATTCTACAAACTTGACTCAATAAAAATATTGATGGAAAAAATGAATTTTATATATATATATATATTACAATTAAAATGTTTTTGTAATAATAAATTATTTTTTATGTTTATCCAAGAATATTAAATCATTTAGAAAGCTTATCAAACAATATTAATTCAAGGCCTTTATTAGAAAGCTGTTGATTGCTGCACAAGTCAAGAGATTATAAATTATTCTGCAGGTAGAGGTAAACATTGCATATGTCGAGTCAATTACTCTTCTTCATAATGTATTTAATAGACAGTAAATTGCATTGAATTAAAACCCAAACGTCAAAATTCAGGATAAAATGGATAATCTGTGACTATGCCTGAGCTGGATATTTATAGCCAAAAGCACTATTTTGTACTATATATCGCTGTTCTGTTTTCACTTCACTACAGTTTAATTTTGTTTTTAATGTTATACGAGTTTGTAAATGTATTTTTGACACTAAATTAAACAACAATGTGTAAAGCAAATGGCAGACTAGCAGTGCAGTGCAAGATGTTGACATTGATTTTAATGTGTAAGTGTAAATTCTGAATTAGCAATGTGATAAAGGAGAGGGTGGTCTCACGGTGCTGAGGAAAAGCCCAGTTTTAGTAAAACCACTTCCAAACTGTTTGACAAAGACCTAGAGGCACCCAAACGGATTATGTAAGGCTCTGTGCCAGCTTCCCTGCCCTTATATATGCCACAACCTGTCATATGTACGCATACCATTAAAAACAAAGCCAAGTGATTTCTGCTGTTAAGTATGCAAAGATTCATGCAACGTCAGCATTGTCAAATACATCAACACTTTTAGGGTTTTTTACTAAAGTAAAAAATCTAAGTAAATTTCAGATTTAAAGCCAGAGTAGCTGAAGTGAAAGTATAGCTGACGTAGAGAAATTTTCCATTTCTGATCATTTTGACCTCAAAAGAAATTAACTTTGAGGGTTATTAACAAAGTTTGATTCAAAGCCATTAAAGGGACACTATAGCATAAAGCAGTGGTTCTGGTGAAAATCACAGTGAAAAGACGCCAGTGTCCATAGGAAAGCATTGTAAATGACGCCGATGACGTCGCTAGGAAAAAGGAGAGGAGGAGGAAAGCTCCCCGCCCGGCGCTGGAGAAAGGTAAGATGTTAACCCCTTCCTCTCCCCAGAGCCCGGCGGGAGGGGGACCCTGAGGGTGGTTGCACCCTCAGGACACTATAGTGCCAGGAAAACAAGTATGTTTTCCTGGCACTATAGTGGTCCTTTAACTTCGGGTGTCGCGGCTTAAAAGAGGACTTAGCTGGAGTTTGTAGAGAGCAGAGGCGCTCTCAGGGTAGAGCTGGATGTAGTGCTAAGGGTTAGATAACCCAACTAGGTTGACTGGGACTAAGGATCTTTGATATTAGGCATATAAGGGGAGGTAGTATATAGGGCAGGGGATGACTATAGCGCTCTGCAGAAAGGCATCAGGTGCACTTGAGTCTGCGAGTGTTTCGTAGCAATGGGGTGCTTGCTGGTCAGGTAAAGAAATCCTCTCCCTTCCCTCTCCCTATCCCCACTCCCTCCTTTTTTTTAATCTTTCCTCCTTCCCTCCCTTCCAGTGGCGTCACTAGGGTTGGTGTCACCCGGTGCGGTAACTCACCCGGTGCGGTAACCCCCTTAATAATGTGTTTTGTTTTTGTTTTCTTTTTTACTAATGTAACTCGGAAATCATAACTCCCATCAGTGCCGGTGCAAGGATTTCTGCCGCCCTGGGCAAACAAAAATTTGCCACCACCTTATATGCTCTGCCCACCATGTGACATCGCAATGCCCCACCCGTATGATCTGCCATATGAGTTAACGCCAGTGCTGCACACGGTATCTTTTCTCTGAAAAGGCAGTGTGTGTTTATATTAAAAAGCCAACAGGAACAGGCTATTGACACCAGAACCACAACATCAAGCTATAGTGGTTCTGGTGACTATAGTGTCTCTTTAATGTAAATTAGAGATTAGTGAGACTACTTACCACCAGATGAGGACACGAGGATGATGATGGGCTCAAGCTGCAGTCTGGCTCCACTGGTCAGGTGTAGAAGAGGCTCTGTGGAGGCTGTTTGTAACTCTGCTCACAAAAATCAACGAACAGGAAGCAGCTCCATTTTTTGAGGCCCCTTACATAGCTCAAGGACTGGGCCCAAGGGCCTGACCGTAAGTATGCCTACAAGGCCCGCCCATAAGTCCACCAACATGGCCCACCCATGAGTACGCTCACAAGGAGTGGAGTGTATGTGTGTAGGGGATGTGTTATGTGTTATTGTAGAGGATGTAATGTGTGTGTGTTCTTTTGAAATGTAGTGTATAGGAATACCAGTTTGTGTGGGATGTAGTGTGTGTGTGTGTGTGTGTATATAGGGGATGCAGTGTGTTTGTGTGTAAGGGGTAGAAAGCAGTCTGTGTGTGTATGTGTGTGTGATGCATTGTGTGAATCTGTGTGTGTGTAAGAGAAGCAGTGTGTGTTTGTGTGTGTAAGGGATGTGAAATGGAAAAATCAATCAATGAATCGATTATTTCTTTGTGTATCTGCCCCTGGCCAAATCAATGAAACAAATGCGTGCACGCTCCCTGAAGTAATTCACACCAGACACAGGTTCCAGGTTGTTGAATAACTTGAGGAATGTTTATTCAGAGGGGACGGCAGGCCCCTTTTAAAGCAAAATTACATCATAAGCATTGTCAGAGATAACATTGGATAATACATCAATAATTGGTTAGGTGTTAAGTGGTCTTCCTAATGCTCTGCCTACTAAGGGTGATGTCACCGGGACCATGAGGGTCTCCCACGGTTCCCCGGCGCCATCTTGTTGCACGAGGTAGTTAGTTGGTGTTAAAGGGGGAGGGGAGGAGGGGTTAGAAGCTTCTAGCAGACATCTTGATTAAAATATGTGTGTATAGCTTTATAATGTATATTGTGGAATGAGTAAATAGACATTTTTACTAACTAGGAAATATGTGCAGACCTTATTTCCACAACAGGATGCAAGGTGTGTTTCTGTGTATGTAAGGGGTGCATTGAGTGTGTGTAAGATGCATTGTGTTTCTGTGTATGTGTAAGAGAAGCAGTGTGTGTTTGTGTGTGTAAGGGATTCATTGTGTGTTTTTTTGTATACATTATGTGTGCAAGGGCTGCATTGTATGTGTGTGTGTAATGGATGCATTGTGTGTAAGGCTAAGTGTGTAAGAGAAGCATGGTGTGTTTGTGTGTGTGTGTAGGATTCACTGTATTTTTCGGTGTGTGTAAGGATGCATCGTGTGTTTCTGTGTATGTGTAAGGATGCATTGTGTATGTGTGTAGTTTGAAAGAGGCTTTGTGGCCCCTCTGTGTGTCTTTCCCCTATCACCCCCAGGTCCCTCTAT